AGGACTTGGTATGCCCTTTTTTTCCATTCCTAAATTTTGTTTACATGCGTATTCAGTCTAACGCTTTGGAATTCAATAACCTTTCCTTTAATCCTTCAGAGTATTCTTGCATTCGCCGATGAATCACAAACATTGCGTACAACTGGTGCAAACGATGGCTAAGACAGAAATGCATCATTATGATCGCTCGTGAGAACACGACTCTATAGAAGGCGAAATCGCCGACACATCAGCCTTCGACCAAGAGCAACAACAGCAACAGCGACAATGACACCAACAATAACGACGACAACGACAACTTAAACCAACCTCGCATGAGCTCAATAAAATTAGTTCATGAGGACATATAAATAAATGTATCAACCATTTGTGCTAATGTTTACAGAAAGTCGGTTTTTTCGAGTTATTAAATTAATTTCACCTACATTGTACACATGTGCTCCAATACAACTGAGTGTTTCAATGCACAGGTGACGTTTTCCTTAACCTCATAATCGATTATTGATCGCAAGGGTCTGTGTCTATGGTTACACGGTCGAAACGGTGCTCTTTTTCGTTAGTTTTGGATCTCGGCTTAGTATCAGCTATTTGTGGAGCAGCATGTCATTTCGGAGCTTCAGCGTGAACTTTTGGATGAAAGCGGTAACGGTTAGTCATCAGTGTAGTGGTGTGAGAAATTGGATAATACAAGATATGAGGCCTAGAGTGTAAAGTGGAGTGAAAATCTCGTATGTTTTAAAGTTTTCTTCCACTGGTAAGTATACAAAGCTGCAAGAGCAAAGTAAGAAATTTACAGGATGTAGATTCGAATGCAGATGCGGAAAAGCTTATAATGAGTATGTGAGTGGAAACATGTTAACGAAAGCCGTGCGGTGCAGTGCAACCGGTGCCGCATTTTTTGTTGTTTGGTCGAAAGCATTTCGCTGTTTCGCAAAGTATTCTAGTTATCTTCAAAACTACATCAGCAAAATTACTACGTGTTTTAGAGCCAAGCTCTAAAATGTTTCTAGAAATGCACCAACCCCAGGACAGCTGAAATTTTGCAGCTTCATGTTTCATAACGTTCTTATACGACAGATTTTTACAGTCGACATGTAGTCCGGATGTTTTTTGGATAAAAGATTAGAAGATTTGCCAGGGTCATGTAAAAGTTACTAGAAGCTTTATTTGAACGACTTACTACCTTCTTGATGGGAATTCACGAGATTGTCATAACAGTTTACAGTTCTTGGCGGTTCTGCGGCCTCGCCTTCTTCAGAGTATGAGGAGGTTAAGTTGGCACATAATCTACTCAGACGAACAGTTTCACTACCATGGCAGTTAAAATTTTATCCATAGTCTTTTGCTTTTGTAATAGACAGTTTTTTTTGAGCACTCACTGTTTTATTCCCTACAAACTTTCCAATTATTTGCTAAGTATCCGCCGCAGTCTTACATTTGTGAGAAATGTGCCTCGCTCAGTTCAAAATGTCAGTCGGAGATGTGGTGCGAAGATACGGGTGAACACTATAAACTTTTTTGATTAACTTTTAGACTATTAAAGTTTATTCAAAAGCATTCAAGAGTTTTACGTGATGGTTTAGACTAGTGAACGAAGATTTTAGCTTTTACTTCAAAACCACCGTCATGTTCCTGTGTCGTATGCGCGCCTAGTGGAGCATTTAGATCAACATCAAATTTACCGAACAGTTTCCCATTACTTTGCGGAGTCATTCGATACACTAGCTGTCCATTGTAGGAGAGTTTCGAATGACTTCGCAATAAAAGCCATCCACGAGTGACTTATACAACAACAAGGAGCAATAATAATGAGGCCTCTCAACCGGGCAACTCGTCACCCTTTTGAAGAAGTGCCTGAACTGCTCAGCGTTCAAGCGGTCCGAGAAATATTCCGTACAAATGAAGAGGCTGCCAATGACAGTGACTGGCATTAGTCCTTTCCATTGTGCTCAGCAAGAAAGTGGAAGGCCTCATACTCGATCTCTGGCCGTTACTCTACTGTAGCTATGGAGGCGACTTTTTTGCCATCTGCTCAACACAAGAGAAGATAAACAAGTGTTTTGAATTGCTAAGCCCAATAAACAGAGTCCATAAAATTTGCAATAAAAACTATAAAAACCAAATAAAATAACCGAAAATGTAAATGCCTTTTTTGGTTAATAAACCTTCAAGTCAACCTGTGAATCGAAGGTGCATTAGAAAATGGCATTGAGAACCAAATAAGAAAAATGTACTGGTTCATTCCTTCTCTCCTCACTAGTCACACACAAAAACGACGGTTGTAAAAAACGTTTCTAGCAGCTGTGCCTGTGTGCACGGGAAGGGATCTTGGGAAAGGATCCCTGAATTTGGAGCTGCAAATAGCTATTTCTAATGGCTACGGAACGGAAGATTCTCGAGATTTTTATAGGAAAACGAAGCCTTCGAAAGACAAACTTAGTTGAAATAAGGTTCCGTTTATCCCGCCTTTGTTTCCAACGAAATAAGAACAGCTATAAAACGTTAAATAAAAATGAACAGATTAAAGCAATCGGTAGCGGATGCCAACTAGTTTGTAACAGCTGCATGACCGTCATACACGAAGTAATCTGCATAACTTGCCCAAACGGTGGGAAAGGTGATTGAGTGAGCTAGAGCGCGCTGTTTATCCGATCCCTTGTAGACCATAGGGGTTGGAATAGAATGGCGAAACGTGTATGACACTTTGTACCTGCATCAAAGAGCACCTAGTTGGACAGCTTAAAGTCCAGTGGAATACTCCACTAAGCACACATTGAACACGATGTTATAAGGAAAAAGATTTTAAAGCAAAAGTCACCATGCTCACATATGAATCTAAGGCATTAGGGTGGAAAACTCCAGAGGTATTTTGGATCACCTGTAGCCCTATTGATCGTCGAATGTCTCAAGCGGGCGCCAGTAAATCTTCCACTTTTCCCTGTCGCGTACAAGAGTAGCCCAGTGGATTCTGCTTGCTCTAGAGGCTCGTCGAGCAACACATCTTTTTTCAACGCTCTTTGTGAAGAACTTTGGCCATCGGGTCGGTGGACTTCCTGCAGTGCGTTTGACATCTCGAGGAACGCAGTCACTAACGGCTCTTGTCCATCGGTTGTCATTCATACGCATTACGTGTCCGGCCCGCCTTATCTTCGACTATTTGGCGTACCGAACGGCATCCTTGATTTTCGATCCTTGACGCAGGTTGAAACTCCCAATCCCTTCCCTTACTTGTGTAAAAGGGGATACTCCTAACATAAACCTTTCGACTGCGCGTTCAATAATGCTGAGTGATCATTCATCTTGCTTACGCAGCGACCAGGTTTCTGACGCATACGCTAAGGCAGAAAGTATCGTTAAGTCGAAAAGTCGTATTTTCGATAAGTTGCAAAAATCCAAAAATGAATAGCAAAGAGTTCCTGATGCGATCACGCGTGCGATCACGCCATGCCTCCGGCTCATATTTCAGTCCGGGTTAGGCACATTTCTCACTCAGGTAAGACCATGTGTTCTTCACCGGATAACTGGAAGAGTTTCAAAGAAAAAATCGGTGGGTGAATGTTAGGTAGAAAACTGGCTTAGAGAAAAGTAATGCAAGGGCTTCAGTGATACTGTGCTTGACACGTGAGCTCCTCGATAGAGTGATCGCAGTTTGATGTGGCCTGGGTCCAAGTTTTCATCAACGTCATAGCAGTTGTGTTCTAAATCGGTAAGTGTTTGAATAAAGCTGTTTATTATGCGAATAAAAGTTTATGCTTTAAGTTTTGTTTGCAGAGGTTGTGAAAGTGCTTGGCATAAGTGACTGCATGTTAATTTGACCGTTTCAGGCTCTGAAGAAGGCGACATCGCCGAAACGCCTTGTGTATTAGTAAATGCTGTGATAACAACTTCGGCTTTGCTCGTGAAGAAAGCAATGAACCACTGATAAATGACGAGGTTAAAGGAAAGTCGGTCCTAACATTATTCGATGCTTAGTCAGGCCTTTCATATCACTCAGTGCAAATCCTCTTCACGATCCTGCAAAAAACCGTTTAGATCAAAAAGTCAAAAAATCAAAAGACTTTATTAAAAAAGAAATAATCTGAGATTCAATGCTGGAATTTATACGGCGAACTAGAAGTACTTCCAAAGCTAACTCTACAGTATATGTTTCAGAAAGGGCAAATGAGTGGAACCACTAGAGGAGAATAGTAAACAGACAAAGAAAAAATCAAGAAAAGCAAATAATCATATAAAAAAGAAAGCAGAAAATACATGAAGATTTATGACACTTCCAGTCAAATAAGAATAATAGAAAGAGGATATGGATAGGTTGGAGGGCGCGATCATATTTAACAGTGACACACAGCTTTAAAAACAAAGTAACACATTGGTTTCTACCCAAATAAAACTCTAATATGCGTCTATTTTTACAAAAAAAAATCGCTTGGAGCAAAACATAACACATGAAAGAATCGCATAAATATGAAAGTTCGAGTAGATCGCAAATTTCATGAGAGTACGATAAAGCGTTTTCTGTAGATACGTATCTAACGCATCTGAACTCGTATTTGTATACTGTGTATGATTCTGTGCATATATGGGCGTTTGTATGTGGATGTGTGTAACGTATCTAACTGCTTGAATGTACACAGGCGGCGTATGTGTACGTTGCATGTGCCTGCGCTAGTGCGGTATATATATATATGTATACCTATATAGAAATTATGTGTGCACGTATATCTATCTATCTATATGCCTGTATACCTGTGTGTTTGTGCACTATGCATGAATGCATGTATTTATGCATGGATATTTGTGTGTATGTAGAATTGTGTGCATGTATGTATGTATGTATGTCTGTACGTATATGTATGTATGTGTGTGTATGTATGTATGTATGTATGTATGTATGTATGTATGCATGTATATAGGCAAGCATGCGCGTTTGTTTGTGCTTATGTACTTGATCAAGCGACAAGCTCAAAACGCTGACCATTCACGTGGGTCAGTATTACAAAAATTCAAAGATAAGCCGGCTGCTCCGGTCTTAGTGCTTGCACACGCCGTATATACTCAGATTCTCGAAAAAAGTCAGATTGGAAGGAGTTATGTCGTATAGTTGACATTCCTGTAACTGAAAAAATTTGCTTATTGTTCTTTGTCGATCACTTCCTGTCTAAACATGATTAACGAACGTTCATGAAAAAGAATTGCCGTGAACGATAACGAACCCTTATTGTGCTGTTATTCAAGTTGTGGAGGAGTTCTACAACGTCTAAGTATACCTTTGAATATCTCTGACTTGAAATATCTTAGTGAGGAACTACAACAGCTTTCCCAGTTTAATAAAGATCAGACTACCTATAGTGATTACCATAGGCAATAACAGACACTGTATATCCAGGGACCAACCACAGAGGAGTTTTTCCAAACAGGAAAGAGCTAAGTCGTACTGGGAACCTCGTGATTAAATGGAAAACTTACTCCAAAAATTTATAAACTTCCAACACATTAAGAATGACGAAAAATTACAGCTTTATTGCAGAAGAGTGGAATTAGAGTAAATTAGACATTTCAGCACATCCGTCGACGTTAACAGTGTTTCTTTAAATAGGAACTCCGTCAAAAACCTGTTACATTTTGATAACGAATGACTACGCCTAAATGAACGCCGGTGTAAAAGTACCTGAAGAAGTCTCGTCTATAAACCGCAGCTTCATAAGTAATTCGTGTGGCTCGAATGGACGATCACGTAACTCGTTGTCGAGGAAATCCCGTACGTCATTCCATGTAACCTAAAAATTGGAAAAACATCGCATGTACTTTTCGTAGCCACTTCTTTTTTTCCTCACCTTTCCTCCTTTTTTTCGCCTCATTGCTCCGAGTAGAGCAACAATTTCCTTCAACTCTTCACTCATCCCTAGAAACCTGAAAAAAGGGAGATTTTAGGCAGGAATGTGGTAACGTGTTAAGAGGACAGATTAACGGAAGAAAGAGAAAAAGTAGAAGTTGATAGCTTAATCTGATGTGTTTACCGTTTCGCACGACCAAAATAGTGAATTCGAGTGAAATACGCTTTCAGATGAGTAGAAGCCAAATCAACACACATAGTCACTACCGAAAGACCTAAAGTAATGAGGTGTTCCACAACGTCACAGCATTTATACTATAAGAGCAGCGAATCGTTTAGGAAGTCTAAAGGAATAGTTAAATTAACCAATTCGTTTTCAGGAAATAAACAATTTGCATTAAGGACAAAAACAAAAAAAACCTACCAACAATAACAAAGGCGACAATGAGTGAAAGAAAAATATAATCCTGGACGACAATGTCTCCCAATCCAACGGTCACTATTAAGTTGAATCCAAAGTGAAAGGCGTGAATGAAAGACCAGGTACTGAATTTTGTTACAAATCTCATTATTTAGTAAACATACACCACTAAAGGTTTAAGGTGTACAAATGATTTAGACTTCATATAAACATCGTATATGGAAAGCCATATAAGACTGAAGCACTCACCGTTCCCAGTTTATAAACATGGCCGATCCCATGGAACAATATAAACAAATACAAGCAACATAAGCACCTAAAACGGGAAAATTTTATGTGTACTGTAAATGAGCTCCCTATGTAGCGTTCAAAATACTAGTGAGAAATTACTACACTACTAATTCCGCTAGTGAAAGAACCACAAAACACATCACAACATAAAACCTACAGAGAGCAGTGAACTGTATAGCCACGAAGAGTACACGATTCTTTCTAATGATAACAATAGGGTGATTGGAATGAGGCAGAGGAAAGTCTCCACAAACTGCTATGGTGCGCTATGAGAAGAGTCGGGAAAGGAAAACATCTGACAAACGGTGAATAGGTATTTGGGATTTTTAAGCGGGTGCAATGTATGGATACCAGTTGGTTTTGCTTGTAACGAGAAGGTGAGGTGTTGAATTTTACAGAGCACGCTTACCGATCGGAAAGCCAAGATGAATGTCCTCTTCGCTCGGGACTATTAATGATTCATATAAAAAAATTAACACCTGAATATTTTCCTTAGATCTTCCATCCAAAACTAATCAATCACCTTTTTCGTCGATTTCATTCAAAGCGACAATAAAATTCTCGAAAGAAAAAATCATAAAATATAATGAGATGAATTAGAAAAAAAACTACGTGTAGGATAGAATTTTGATCAAGTATACTCACCAATAGGAAACCATAATTTTTCTTCAGTTCCGTCCACACCAAGAATATCTAATGTGTCAGTGTTACCGTTTGACGATTGCATTGATTTTCGTCGACCAGATCGACTTCGGTAAATCCACTGCTAAAACATGAAATCTGAAGATGCGCACAACGCTAGAAGCTGGTTTCTTGCTAGTTAACAATAATCATTCAATCAAAAAAAGTAGCAAGAAATGAAGAACTACTTAGAGTATTAAAAGGATAAAAGATAAAGTTCCCGGTGTTGACCAATCCGTGAGGGGTGCGATATGAATTCAACTTCATTAAGCATCGTTTGGAGGTGATTGAATGCATATCTGGCCTTTACAATGACTCGCGGTAGCCTACCGAAGTATCAAGCCGGCGCTGATATTCTTCCAGACAAGTCTGCTACTAATTTGCCGACCGCGGAGCGATGGAAGGCTTGGCGGGCCATGGACGCGGGGCCGATCCCACGTGTGTATTGCAGGGCGTCTTCCACCACTGCTCCACACGCGTCCTACTTAGAGTATTAAAAGCAGTAATTCGTTTAAAAGAGGTTTTTTTAAATCTGAAAACTAATCAAGTCTAAAGTTATCGAAAATTTAAAAACGAAGTTTAAACTTTAAAAATTTCAACACCAGCAAGGCATTATATTGGAAAAAACATAACTAAACTGTTACATCATTTCAAAAATACTCGTTGTTAGTGTCAAGTTGCTTTTAAAATACAGATTCTCCACACAGCTCTTGGTTTTGTTTTGGTGCCGGTCGTAAACAGGAAAGCAGCTGAACTGCTTACATTTTTGTATTCTAAGAAAATCATTGGTAGCCAAAAAAGCCTGAAATATATTCCTCCGTTGGAAAACCTTTCTTGTTGTAGAAAACCGCTTCAAATAATTACAACCACAATATGCTGCGCTATGTTCAGAACTTGAAACACTAGCCTAGATTCGAACCAGCAATTACCCTTTCCGGAGGCTCACATTCTACCCAGTACACCAACCGAGGCCAATAATCGGCTTCCGTCAACAGGGATGACCTGTAGAGCACAAATGCGCCTTGATCCCAGTTAAGCCGAAGCTACAGTCAAAATCTCAATACTCAATTTTTATTTACTGCCCATAGTATGCCTTACACTTTAAAACGTTCAATTCTAGACCAACACAATTTATTACTTCTTAACCTTAAAATCAGCTGACCAGTTAATCGATGAGAAAATGGAGAGAGTTTCTCAGAGCTATTTCTTAGCCATTTTTTCCTATAAATCCCACATAGCAGCAATTTTTTAGGTTAAAAAAAGGCTCCTTGTGATTAGAAATAAGAACTAAGGAGGCGACTTCAACCATATGACACTTTCTATCTCAATTAGCAGGAAAAACACAGAGCTTTTGCTATACTTAGTCCTTCTTCTAAAGAAGTCACATATGGTACGGATCCAAAAATCGGAAATAAATGATTGTCATCAATCTTAAAGGAATATTGTTGTATTTTATTTTGCTCTAAGAAATGCTTAAAAGACTTAGCACACACCTGAAACATATGGCAAGATAAAATGTTTTATTTGACGTCTTTCAGTTTTTGTTCAACCCCTTCACGACCGCTGCAGTTTTCGCTCGTCGATCTCAATTGCCATGTCGTTGAAGTGCAATCGAAATACGCATTGAAACCAAGACGTACGGTCCGTGAGCACTTCAAACTGACATGGTGCACTGGTTTCTTCAGTCTATATTTCTATTACTCGGTTTTCTCACATTTTTCCTCGTCTCTCTAACTTCTACGTATCCGATATATTGTTCTGTGTATACTCCATGTTCCCGGACATCTCCTATGTGTGATCTAACTCTTACGTGTAATAAAAAAAATCCGTCCATTATCTAACCACGGCATTATCAACTTTTCTGGTAACTTTATATTATATTGAACATGCATTTCCTTGTCTCTTTATGGCATTTATAGCCACCGATTCCATTCCACTGTCCGAAGAGGCTTTTTGAAAATACAATGCATTGAGAACGCATACCCATGGACCAGCCCCTGTAGAAAACCTATATTCAACAAGCTCTCGATTACAAACTGCGGCGAAACAAGCCCGAAAAAGCGTGCGCATTGAAATCGAGATGTATGGTACGAAACGTGCAACAGCCTTAAATATTGAAATCAATCCGTTTGCTCGTGAAAGGGCCAACTTTATCAGTATTGAAGCGTCGCTTGTAGATCAAATATGATTTCTGCCAGAAAACATTTAACAATATTAAAGAATAATTGAAAAAATTAAAACACGGAAAACTTGCCTTTATTTTTCGTGTCATTCGATTCCAGTTACTAACAAATTTGAGCAGTGTTTCTGAGAGAAATTTCCCAATATCGGCCGCAGTAATGAACATTAACGGAATACCAACCAGGGCAAAAGCTACCGCAAATACCTTACCGACATCCGTATCTACAGAAACTTCACCGTAGCCTGAAAAAAAAGTTTAATATAATGCTTGATACAAGATAAACTTAGGTTATTCCATTCAGTAGACATTCCTGATATTTTCAGGAAGCAGAACGAGAAAGTTCAATGTCGTGGTTTATTAAAATAACTGGGTTTGAATGGATGCCACAAAGGAATTTTATTCACATTTATCTCCTCAGTTGTTGGAGGATTGTAGTCATTAGTCTTGTGCTGATCAATGGCGTATTCCACTTTCCAATATTACGGATTGGTTGAAAACCAGTTCGCTTCAAAAATTCAACGCGTAACAAATATTTTGGATTTTTCGCACTTTTCAAGCACGCATTTCTAAATATTCGCTTTAAGAGTTGCTTGCACTTTCGTTCATTCGCCCCCACTTTACCGCTTTTTCTAGCAATCAGTGTGATATTTCCGAAGTATTTAGGGAAATACAATCCTAATTCAAGTGAATCTCTTTGTTTGAGTTGTCGGCCACAATATCGTTTTATAGCAAGAACTGGTTTACCATAGGATATCTTTCTAACATGTACACTATAACGACAGAAAGTTCAGGTCAATCGATATATCGATCGCCGCGTCGATCAATAAATGGCGTATATTTGACGAACCACAAGTTGTTAGTACGGTAAGGACATAGAGCAATGCGGTTGGAAATGTCCATTTATTGTGCATATTAGCAAGATCATCGGGTCGATTCAGTTCACGTCGAATCGGTCGCCGATCATCGACGACTTCAGATACTGATAGCATCCATTCTCTGGAAAAATAAAGGCAAATAATAAAATTAAAAATGAGAGTCTAAAAAACCAAGCAATTCATTCTCCGTTCATGCCGTTGCCGTTTTTTGTTTTTTTTATCCATAAGTTTTTCTCTAATCTTTGCCGCATCTGCGCTGAATGTGATACTTTAACAGATACAACGCAGCGGTATTTCTTTAATGAAATACTCAAAGCAGTAATCTCGCCAAAGCCGAAAGGACAAATGATAGCTGATCTATCGAAACTTTTTTATAAAAGAAAGCCTACAAGTGAGCATGATGATATCAATGTTTTAACAACAAACGAAGAAACTGAACCCTTTAGATGTTGAGAAATAGGACACGTTTCCTCGGCGTGCATAAAAAATCGTCTCAAACAAACAGAAAAGTTTTAAAAGAAAAACTCCAATACCTTGCATGGCAGGGAACTTTTCGATTCTTTTAGCACTACAAAAATACACTACGTTTAAAAGTAAGGCGTTAATTCCTCGTCAACGTTTCCAGTGTGACGCTGCGCTGTGAGCCGGCTGTGTACATATAACGAACGATTGTTTGCAGTTTTTCAAAGCTACTTATGTTACTGTGTTAATTCCTATAGCAAAAATTTAGTTAAGGCATATTTTTCATTAGGTCGATTTTCTGGATATTGGCAAACATTCAGAGGAGCTATGATCGTTTTCTTCATAGGCTTTCCATTCGCGGCAGTACCATTCATCATCATTGATGCAAACCATTAGCGTTTTCTTTATTCTAAACTAAATTAGAAAACTTCTTTAAACATGGGAAAACCTCTGAATATATGGGTTGTGGTCGGCTTTTCATGCTGACAGCATCAAAATAAAAGTGATGTACGCGGACCAGTCAGCTTAATGTTAGTCGGCTAGCAAAAAGAAATGCTCGCTGACCAATCTGTTCTTTCTGGACAACAACACCATCACATTCGTTAAACCACGGAAATATTAGCACACTGAGAAAATACAAACGCCACCAATTTTACTAGCAAGTCGAACGCGCTGAATAAAAGAATTTATTTTTATGTAAGTTAGACGGAAATACGTCGATGTATGCGCTTAGCTGTCGTTAGAAAAGTGTAGAAAGATGTCGGGAGGCTTAATAGAAAATATTAGATAAAAACATGACAACTAAAACCGTACCGAAACGTAGCTGCCCAGTCCTGTTCATCAACAACACGACGACCGTGCTGTGCTTCATTAAGGATTCGCCAACTGTCCGCGGTAAAATTCGACATCATATTTGTTAATCTGAAAAAAATCTATTCATTAACAAATACATACGCCAAATTTTGCCTGTAAACCGCTTGGAACTACGCCTAATTTTTGCCGCTCGCGACGGTTCGCAACAAAAAAGAACCTACCCAAAAAAGGATTTCCCGGAAATGCTAACTGTATAATATGGCTTAGATCATAAAACACGTATGGCATAACATTTTCGCTAAATAATTTATCGAGAGAATACTAAAACTGAAGCAAATCAACTTTTTGCAATAGAATAAACAGTCGAGTTGAAATTCATTGATTTCAATGCATCCAGTCGGTCATGCGTTAAATTGATGGTAATTGTTACCAATATTTAGAATTTTTAAATACCAGTGCTGCGAGTACGACTATGGCGGTGAAATTTAAAGGCTAAAGGTCAGAAATGTGATTGCTTACCGAACGAGTTTACGTGATCGCGCTAGTAGTTCTGTTCGTGTCTCGAGTAACATAAGTATCCATGCACCCAAACATAGGTAACCGATAAGCACCGTAACAAGTATAACATGTGGTGTAAGGATTTTAATATACTGAAAAGTAGCACTTTGTGGGAGAAGTGAAGATTTCTAAGCACATCATAAAACAGGTTTAAAACGAGATCCTAATAAATTCAGACTTATTGAATGTCCTTTATTACTTCTTCGCTAAGGTTAAGTTATGTAAAATTGATTATCAACATTAGTGGCGATCTTTCGTCAACAAAAGGAGTACGAAGACCACGCTTTACGGACAGATCAGCTTTTCAGTGTGATAAAAAAATATTCGTTTTTCAACGTTGTTACGCTCTACTTCCTTATTTTTCCTCCTCTCTCTGACTTTTTTCGTTACTGTTAGATATAATGATAGGTGTTTACATCACTTAGAAAGCGGAATATCGCATTTATAAGGTGTCTATCGACAATCTGTTGAGTTTCGCTGTATCCGATGTCGTTTTTCGTAGTCGCCTAGGGATTTGCCATCCGTTATGTTGTGTTATTGACACCACCACCACATTAGTTAACCCTATTTGCTGTTGGGAGAAGCCGAAACATATTGGCTGGCCTCCTTCAATCCTTCGTTTAACATCTAATAACTTCCCCATATCTAACATCTAAAGTAAAAGTTGAGTATTCAGTGTGGTGAGCAAAAAAAAACACTGATTTCTATTCCTAATCCATTACTGACTCTGTTCTTAGTAGGCAGACTTTTTAACGCCTGTATAGCTCTAACATTTGATGAGTGGCGTGGAAGAAATACTTTTCCCATTTGCTTCACTAAGTTTTCACCAATGAAGGTGGCGGTCTTCTTGTTTGCTTTCAGCTCTGGCTTCACCACTTAGATCTATTCCATCACCGGTTCCTTACTACATAGATACATTGATGAGTAGATGTGCTGTATATTATGCGATTTAATGCAAACCAAAAACTTTTTTCCTTCGTTTCGCTGTGTTGAAACCGCTGGTCTAATATGTGTGCATTTTTGACTCGACGAGACCAGTTGCTTCTTTTTCTCCTCGCTGACACATTAAATGGCGATTGAAAGTCGTTTTTAAACAACAGTTTTGTTTATAAAGCATACTGTAGAAAATTTTAAAAAACCTGTAATGAAGAGACTATCGAGGAATACGGAAGAACTGCCCACTTAAATTCTTTTACGTTCCCATGTCTGATTAGCTCACCGAATACTTTTCATCCCAAAAAATTCAGAATAAATTGAGGAACGATCACTATAGCATGACCAGATAAATGATGAACAGTAAACGGATATGATTTCACTTTTAGGTCGCAACAACTTAGCAAGCTAAATAAAGTTTTATTTACTTTTTCTACTAAAAAAAGCTTAGTCGGACACTTGACAGCATTTGATAAAATTCCGAAAATGATTTAGGTGGATATGAATAATAAAAAGCGGTGGATTCAAGGATAATTGCTCTGCTGCCACGATTGAAGACAATTAGGAAAACCACTCACAATATTCTTGCCATAATATTTGAAATACTTCCCCTTTGAACACAAGAATAGAGTAGAAAAAACTGGCCAAGAAAAAGGCAAAGCAAGGGACTCGGTGGTTGGCGTGGTGGATTGCATGTAAACTCCGGAAAGAGTAATCGCGGGTTCGAAGCCATCTAGGGTTCAGACTTTTGAAATATCTCAGCATCCTTGTAATTGGGTTCTACATAATATACTGCCGGGAGAAAGAATTGAAGCAAAGAGAATCTGTATAAAAAGTCTAGAAATAAATCTAGCAATTAGCTAGACAAGAAGAAAATGATTTTCACACAAAGAATATCGTAAACTGTAACTCGAAAATGTTCTCGGTGTTATTACCTTAACGGTTTGCTGTGGACAGCTTTTCGGTTCTTCTTGTTCAGCATCATCCTTAATGGTGTCCGTGATGACGGTTCCACCATCATCAGTGTCGATCAACGCCGTTTGAGAATTCAGGGGTACACCTTCCCATCTTGCTGTCACGTGATCTAAAATTACATCTGCATATTGAAAAAGCCATATAGGGATACACATTCGGCTTATCGTTGATGAGAAATTTTTTTTCACAAAACTCACCTATACTCAACACCCCCGAGATTTTATTCTGCGGATGTGATGAATCGCATGGAGAAACTGTTTGATACGTCCTGTCGGACGTGACACCTTGACCGCCTAATTACACCATAAATATTCGCCTTGTTCATGCTTGCTTATGATACTTTATAAACAAACCGGTGATCTAACACCCAGATAAATCCAACATAGTTACGGATTCAAACACAATTCTCACATTTTGAGAATTCCGTTCAATATATGTCGACAAGACTACATATGTTTACTACGTCTATCTAATGTCCGTAGTAACCGATTCGGCGTGGAGGGCGTCTAACACTAGCCATTCATAACAGAGTTTGCAAAGCAAAGTGGAGATTCCCGATAAATAGATATACAGATTGGCATAGAGGCTTAATTCCTTGTTTGAACATCCTAATAGATCTCTGTAGAAAGATCAATACGCTACTATTATATTATCTAAAGATTGATCTCTCCGAGAACAGTGAGTGTTTACTTCATCATGATCCTCAGAATATTCCACCAAGAATGGCCCAAAGGAGAAATAAATGACTGTCTAGTCTGTGGCCTTTCTCAACATGTGGATAACGTTTTGCAAGTGCCATGTGAACGGCTGGAATTCAATAAAAAAAAATGGGAAATACAGCATAAACTTAGAAGTTTACCTATGACAATTTTTCCATCATCCTGGATGGTGATTGTTGGACGACGAAGAAAAACCTTATGAGGACTTTGACGATGTGCATCTTTCACAGAGAGCGTAGGTGAAACAGGAGAAGCACATATTTCAAGATCTTGTGTATTATGCGGTTCACATACAATGGATTGTGGAAGATTGTTGTATTCGTCTGGACGCCGATCTTCTGGCAGGTATCTAATCAGATCTTGAATATCTAACGTTGTACGACGAGAAAGAAGTTCAGGAATACGATACAGAAGTCGTTGGTTTAACTGATCGTGTGTAGTGTGAGGAGGATGAGAAAGTGTAGGTCGGCGATTGAAACCTGCTTGTAGACGACCATGCGGAGAATAGAAGAACATGGTCGTGCATATATTTCGGAAGCTGTTGGATGGTGACTTTTTTGTTCTCTTTCGTCTAAAATAGAACTCTAGAGTGAATGAGGTGTTAGGATGCTTCAAGATCTGAGTCCAAAAGACGAAACACTAAAAACGGGGTGGTGGGCGGGCTTATCATATGCGAGAAACCAGCCACACCAGCTTAATCAGAGGCCGAAGACTTGTCACGGGAGAGATCAAGTGAAGTGAATGAAGGAGGGCAGACAGCGGAAGGCCCTAGGCTAACGCCCAGATGGAACGTTTCGAAGCATTTTAACTAGACGCGTACCAACGTCCTCAATGGCTCACTTTAACAGTGGATATTCTCATTAAGAGTTTTGCTTAGTAAAAAATACTCAACGTTTTTGAGCTTGATATTTTGCACACCTACACTTCTTCGCCATTTTCAAAGTATTCCGGAAGTTAATTGGTTTGCATCTTTTTCCTTAACCTATCTGACGCATCAGTGGAGAACGCTCGGTCAATGGTCGACATTTTCTACTGTAAATACTCAAGCAGCTCTTTTTCTCCTACCTCCCACAATTCCAATGCTCATATAAAAGTGAAATATTACAACGTATACCACTGATGAATAATCAGGCACTTTTGTGTCAATCTACTTTCATGTCCTTCATTCACAGCGTAAAAAGCTGTATTGATCGCGTTAGAACATATAAATAAATGCTAAAAGGACAATTGGATAGAAAATTTTGCTACTGGAATAAAAGCATAAGGATCTAAATAAAAAAAACCTTATTAAATGCACTTTTAAACGATTCGTACAAAAATAAGCTACAATCTTGCGTCTAGACCAGTTCACTTCTTAAAATTCATTAGCTGATTTCCGTTGAATTAAGAATTACCAAATAATCATAAACATCGGAACTTTGGAACCATTTATACTTTCTATTAGCCCAAGTTTCGGTATCAGGTGGTCGATTCCGCACAAAAATTGCCTAGGGTTTTCTTGAACCCATGAAGAAAAAAGAAGAATTGAAGAGATCGCAAATATGTCGAATGGCAAGCTTCTACGTGATATGTATAGATTTTAAGATACACGAAAAAGTAGGTTTTTTTTTGACACTGCTTAGACCACTAGTGCTAGATAACTTACGATAGATAGAAAGTGTTTTCAGACGTTTCACAGATAGGTTATGTTCTTTGAGTACAAGTATATTCATGAAACAAATTTAGTTAAGGAATAAAATGACTTGTTCTCAGAAATTCATGAATCATAACAGTCTTGTTAAAAAAACAAGAAAAAAGCAAGAATCAGCAACAAAAACAGCATCGAAGTCTAGTGTTTTAAATGAAACAGATATAGATAGATTCTGAAACGAAAAAACGGACCTTCATATTGTGAGACCAGCTGGAGTACGTCCAAATGCCGCGGTGAAATCATTGTGCGCTATTTAGAGGCAGTAAATGGTTAGCATTTTAGCAGATAACAACAGTTCTATAGTAGATGAGGGTTGTCCAAATATGATGGATGAGGTGGAGGTGGCGGCGGTGGAGGTGGTGGCGGTGTTGGTGTTGGTGGTTATGTGGATGCTGGTAGCGGTGGAGGATAGGTAAGCGCGAGAAGTCGTTAGATGTATGGGCTGCATTAGGTGGCTTGGTAACAGCGCCGGTAAGGACATCTAACCACAGCCAATAAATAGATGGATTTCAAATTTATTTACAATTACAAAGACATTCAAATAAAGACCTCCACATAGTTTCGTCAAGCACCAACACGCACAAATCCATACCATTTTCTCATACATACATAGATATGAATTGATAAATGCATGTACATGCACGTGTACGCTTACGTGTGTACGTACATGCATTCTTGCATACATACATGCATACATATGCACATACATACACGCATACTTACATACATGCATACATACATACATAGATACATACATAGATACATACATACACACACATACATACGTACGTACATACATGCATACATATACACATACATACATACACACATACATGCATACATACATGCAAACATGCATGCATACATACATTCATACTTATATACATACATACATACACACGCAGCTACAGAAGATCTGAAACCAGGTCATTTACCAGATCCTAGACGTAAAGTAGGCGTGAAGGAAATGTGAGGAGGAACACTTACACACACGACGCCACATAAACCAACAAATATAATAAATCATTTCGTGCTGATTAGAAAATCATTGAAATCTAGTGTTTTCGGACGTAAAGCGTTTTTCTTACCCATGCAGCATACTTCACGTACATGTATTTGATGTAAAAACAACTTTTTTATCTGGAAATAGATAATCCTGTGGTGGAAGAGGGCTGATGAAAAAGTAGTGTTATCGTCTAAGAAACAACAGAGATGCTCAATCGAGTTAAAATCAAATGACTCTGCTCATTTGAGCACTACGAAATACGACAGTTAGGAGAAGTAAACGGTTAAAAACATAGGCAACAGATGAAAGCATAGAGAAACCCGTAGGGAGTGTATTACTGCAGATCTCATAACCTGACGAGTAGAGTAGAAAATGAAAGATAAGGACTTTGTTCAAATTGTTACTGAATTTCATTTATAAGCAAGAAGACGACACTTGAGGTAGAGAAAGGAGTACAGAGTGAAAAAGACAGAAGGAGAGAAAGACAGATGTGCGAATAAAACCGTTAAAAGCTCTGCTCAATCACTCAACACCGAGCAGCACATTGTAATTACGACCAGCCGAAATACTTCTTGAAAAGCACGACGAAATCTCTTAAATAATCTTTTTTCCTCTTTAGTAGTAGATATCGAACATATGAAAGTTAGCAGAAAACAATAGAGATCAACAATTGACTCAGCTACTTTCGCCAGATAAAGTTTCGATCGACACAAAGGTGATCATTGAAGTTTATGAAGCTTCTTTTTATCCCGCCCTTTTTTAAATCTGTTTATCATGCTTTCCAGAACAATGACGCAAGTGTTATGCTGAAAAACATTCAATAAATCGATGCTTCTTCCTCATGAAAAATCCAGTAGAATCGCCTTAAACTCAAACAAACAGTCTTCACCACTCATCGGTAATGAGCTACTTATAAAAAACATCACCTGGTTAGTTGAAGCAAATACAAAACAAAAAAGACGATATTAGCGGAGTGAAGAATTGTATTCACAATCTATGCATAATAAAAAAATTTTACATTCGTTCATAAGTGATTCTGTGTTAAACACAATAAATTTTATAGTAGGCAACTCTAGGCACCTAGAGTCGTCCATCAAATTAGATGTAAAACCCTTATATTTGTTAGCTCAAACGTTAAAAATTACAAATGAATGAAAGAAAATTCGAGCCACAATGTCAAAAACCGACGGCCATACTGTCACCTATTAGCAGCCGTACTCAATGCTGTTCATCAACCCAAGGGTAGAAAAAAAACCCACATCCATAAATGCAAGCGTTAAAAGTTACAAATGAATCAAAAAAATTTTAGCCATACTTCAAAAAAATGACGGGAAAGCAGTGTGTTGGCAAAGTTTACTAACTTTTTTTATCTATTTTATCTATTTCTATTTCATCAGCTACTCTACTTCATTCATTTAACATCGATCCTATTCATCATTCAGTTCAGCACTATTTTACACGAACAGAGTTATGGATGAAAAGCTCTAAGGGACTAAGCCTTAGAATAACTGGGTCCTAAACATTCTGGTTCGGATGGTTGTACAACAATTCGCCAAACTTACATTGCGCCGTGCTCTTCCTCTTGGCAGCAGTTGCAGCAGCTTCACGTTCCTCATGGATACCGGCGGTGGTACGAATGAGTCCAGCCGCAGAGAATAGTCCTGCTGCAGTTCTGAATTGGTGATTGCCAAGTGCTCGCGTGTAGATCATTCGCGACGAAGCTGACGATGGAAAAACATGCTGCTCTCGCGTCCCGTAGAAGAACATGCACGACGATTCATTGATGATGGCAGGACGATTACGATCACAACGCTAGTGCTGAGAGCTTGATTGAGGCGATTCATAGCCAAGCATTTCAGCAAATCCAAATAGCACTATTCACAACATCGTTAATTAGGAACTAAGAACACAGTATGTCTAAACTATGTAGTATGTAGGAAAACTATTCGCGAATGTAAGTATTTGTACTAAGATGCAAGCGGAAGACGTTAACACAACGAGTGCACACACTAAGATAGGACAATGGAATAGGAAATTACGTTGCCGGAAGCGCAGAGAATTCCAGATTCACAAAACGCTGAAAGAGGGCGACTTTACGAGAAATTTTAGCTGGTTTGTGGAGCGGTGATCCTGGTCGGTGCAAACGCAGTGCCATATTCAAATAGTACTGGTGTCCTAAATATGAGGCAGCTAAGCAGAGTAAGAGAATACTAATGGTGATTCGCAGCTTATGAGTACGTGTTGCTCATGTAAACATGTAATCAGCAACGTTTTGTGGTCAGCTTCACTTGCGCTAATGTTCATCAATTATCCATTCGTCGTGCACGACAATACAATTCACCTACATGCACCAGAAGGTTCATATTGTTGAAGTGCTTGGCCGCATCAGAGATTTGTTAGGAATCGACAAACAAGCTAGACATTTATGTTTCTACCATAATACCATATTTCTTTGGAAAAGTACTCGTGAATTCCATAGTTATGCACAAATCATGCTCATCTCCGATGTATAGAACAGGAAAATGTATCTATTCCTAGAATAAACTTTACCAGAGACAAAATATATGCACTATTAGTAGCAAATATGTGGTAAGCTTTTTGCTAAGAATTTTAGTATTTTGGAAACAAAATAATGAGGAAACACAGAAGATGAAAACCAAAAAAACGGAAAATATTTGCAGCGAGTAATCACCTATCATGTCCTAGTTATATAGGCATCTATCACTACAGGTAGTACCAGGACACAATCAAAATCAGGCCGATGGAGACGGTTTGAGATTTACAATTAAATTCGTGTAACAGTGAAATCCAATTCTCGACTTTAATGAGAGTACGCCGGCGACAGTGCACAGTGACGACGGTGAACAACGAGCGTGCAGGCAGGAAAGGGAATAAGAAGAGCGAAATCGCAAACATTTATGAGCTAAAGTTATCTCCCGAACGGTTTTCATTGTCGATGGAGACGAGAGTGATGAGGGTGGTGATGCGGTACTGGTGACGATTTAGTGATGATGATTTTTATAAAATAGATAACCAAAAAGCGAATAAAAGACTAATGAAACTACAGAAAACCCATTGAAATCATAACAGAAATTCGAAATGAGAAAAAAAGAGATTCGCGCCAGCATACTACGCCGGCAGCAAAATGCGCGAGGATCTTTCAAAGTAGTAATATCGGTATATTTGGGCTACTCCACTTTGAACCACGCCACTACGAAGGAATAACGCCCCTATGTAAAAAGTGTAATCTCTGTTAAAATCTATATCTCTTAGACCAGGAAAGGATAAGGAAGAAAAGTGATTATCTGGTGCTCGGGCCAGTATCGAACTCAGGCCACCATGTATACATTTTTTCTCTTCTGTTTACATTTTTCCTATTTTTTTCCGCCTTTTTATTCTCCAATTTGTCTCTGAGTTGCTTTAAGACAGAACTAGATGACTTCACACGAATAATACAGTGCTCACTGTGTACGTCGAACGAGTTTGGAGCGCACCATGTCGCATTGGTGTGCGATAGGGATAAATGAAAACTTTGACAGTGGTTTCTCTACTTTCATTATATGCAAGTAATTTAAGTTACAAAACTGATATTGATTTACTGAATTTTAAGATAAATGAAGATAACAAAAATGATCTGTTGAAAAATGCAATTTAAGGTAAACAGATAATAAATTCGTCTTAAAAGTGCTAAGACTAACAAATCATTGTTAAAACTGATTTGGTTATCATCCCCTTAAAAAAAAAACCTATGCGAAGCTAGCAACGGTAAACGTCGATATTGTGAATAAAACAGCGTTATCGTGGATAATGTAGCGCTTTTCGTTCCCTGTGGGTGAATAGATGAGCCGATCAACAATAAAAACTCACACATTTACATCCATAAACCTCATTTAGATAGCTCCAGCTGCGCTCTAGTCCGATACATCATCAAGACGATTTATCGTCAGAGTCGGGCAACCGAACGATGTGAAATTGTGTGTCAATACTAACCATGTGTTACTACTGTGCACTACCGTAACCCTCACAATATAGAGTAATGATGTGAAAACTGAGAACTACGTTTGATTCTATGATGAAGGAAAGCAAAGAAGAACACCGACAAAACGAAACAGCACACTGTATTTATTCCGATACACACTATATCAGTCAAAGTTTATTGTAAATGAGTATTGCGTTTCTAAGAGCCCATAATTCAAAACAATTTCTCGCAAGAGAACAAATGCTTGGCATTGATGTGGAGGGGCAAAAAAAGCTTCCATTGTTAACAAATTTTATGCATGAATATTTTCTTAGGACTTACTTTCTCGAACACAGTGATCTACCGCATTTGTTTGATTGTGAGTGTCTAGGCATTTTTTAGAACATATGGTAGAATGAAATTCAATTATTCTGGTGCAAATTGTTGCTAATTGGAAAGGTTTTAAAGCGTTCTGCTTTTCCAGACAATCGTTTCATGTTCTGATAAGAGTCATCTTTTGTTAAATAGAATTCGGACGGTTAATAGTCAACATAACTTCACTGATATAATATGCATTAATACAAATGAGACGTATCCTTCGAATCATTTATTCCCTTTGTTCTCCTTAATCATATATAGATAAAAAAAAAAGAAATTGAAGCAGAAACACTATTGTTACTCTTGTTCTGATGAATGCGCTCGGAAAGGTTTTCGTTTTCTGCAACAAAACATAGCCCTCAGCTGATGCAATGCCATTCGGTTAGATAATTTTGATTAAAACAAATAGGATACCAAGAATCGTATTATTATGATAAAAGCGTTATCACCCTCTGTACTTAATACTGCTTACGACAACAATGGCTTTTTCAGTCATTCCCTCTTATGATACGATTCAATGAACTTACCCTTCATGTTTTAAATGATTTTTGTTGGCAGAAACCTATGTGGTTAGTTAAATGACAAATATATACATGTATTTATTTATATATGTGTAAATCCTACAACCACATTGGTACGGCCCATTTAACAGTTTCCTGCGATTTTAAACTGACACACCTAGCGGCGTGCCACTTTCCTCTGAGAAAAAAAAAAGGAGATGGTCTCAATTGTGGAATCGAGTCCATTCAATACTTAGAAACTATAAAAATTGCACAATGAATGACGAATTCAAATACAAACGTTAATCATTCTTGATATGCAGTTCGAATGGATGAAGTTTCAGATTTAGCACCACTTACGACACATGTGTTAACGACAGCAAGTCCACGGCTAAGCGCTGATCATTCTCAAAAAAGTAAATCCAGTAACGCATTGTTTATTGGTGTTCGAAAACGATTCCTGATAAGAACAATTTAATCTTAGCAGACAGGTAACTTACATACACGCCTAAATACATATAGACGAACTCAAAGTGCTCATTTTTTTAACTGCGTTTTAAGCAAAAGAACGAAGTGCTCGGAAAAATCGAAGTCATCCGTTCCACGTTTAAAGACCGTTTACTGAAGCAAGAATAAGGAAAACGTTATTCTCACTAACTCTAACGAAAAGACGTAGTCATTTCAGAGTTCTAAAATATCTTGCGCTGTGAATGGCTGCTGTTTATCTGTCACCTTAATATTATCTTTGTGTAACATTTTTACCGAAGGAAAAACAACAAAACGAGGTCTAAAATGAAAGGTGTAGGTGAAATGCTAGGTAGATGTGATAATGCTTTAAACGTAAAAATCATTATGCTTCATAGCAACTTTTATATTCTTTTGTCCTTCGAATTCATGGTAACCGAAACAGAAAAAATAACGATAAAAACAATCGTCTTACTCTCATGAGATGTCGTCTTAAATTCTATTGTTAAAATTGTGAAAAACTCTAACGATGAAAAACCACAGAAACACTGCTATCACCAACTACAACTATCGCTTTGTATAGAAAAAGAATAAGTGGAAAAAAAGTCAGTACAAGTGAAGCCACAAATGTCACAAAACTAAGGGCTTGAAGAAAAAAAGCGTTGACGAAAAATGATTGCGATGGGAGCGATTACCTGAGTCTTGTGTTTTCTCTGGACATAATTCGGCGAGTTCGCTGGGTGATCTGAGATGAACCTTCTTTGTTCCAGAGGGAAGTACGGTAATGGTCATACGACGTGCGTTTTCCTCCAGCGTCCACTGATTCCAGAACTTTCGCAGGAACATATCGCCAGCTTAGTGCAGTGCCTAAGAACTCCAAAACTGCAAACCTATCATGTTTAAAAAATTCGAAGGAGATGCGATGACTTTTGCAGCATAGCATTGTAGCTAATACGTTAACCCTTTGCTTCCATTAAGTTGAAGAACATAAAAAATATTGGGTGAGGAGTGTGGGAGGTTTCAGCCGCATTGCTGCCGAGCCAATAACTCTCGAGTGGCCGCGTTGCGCTCACGAACAAAAGGAATACTGAAAGAACGGCGCATATCACTGCGCTGATTAGTTGAACTGAAAAAATACGCTACTAGCGTTCGTGTAGGTTTTAATCATGGTTAGTGGTTGCATTTGCTATGACGTTGGTAGACGCAGGAGGTTGACTTTTCGGCAAGCAACCACTGACTTGACAAATGACCATTTTTCATTTGATATGGCGAGTGGATGGTGGCGTTTGAAGTGTCAAAAACAACGAGAAGATATGAGAAGGAATGAGTTAGAGACAGCCATATGTCACAACACAATGTCTCTACAGCAACCCTCTCATTGTCGTTTATTGAACGCCTAATGTAAGAGTGTAAACATAAGTAACATCTTTCGCTGGCATATTTGGCAGAGTTTGTTGCACAAGGATTTGTATGTCGTGTAGACGAAGGAAAGCGACAGCTGGTTGGTACACATTTAAGGCACGTTGCATGTTCTGGTTGACGTCGTTATCGAAATATCCGAATATGTATCCATACTTATATAAACTCAAATAAATACATATCAAAGTCATGAACTTTTCCAATAAGTGGAAATGGACTTAAAACAGATTGCAGGAAATTACTAGAAACTGAACGAGTGGAACATTGATGAAATGATGCATTGAGAGGATGCGAATAAACGCACAGCGTTTCAGCACAAAACACGATTTAAGTTCTCAAATTTCCCGCCGTCCGAGGTGCAAATGCTGTTAGACAGATGTCTTGGTATTGCGCGTGATCTGATTTACAGAATACATAATGTTGAGGATAAAAAACGGCAGACTAAAATGAGTCATGGGTAATCAGAATGTTACTCTTTACGACCAGAGTACAACCACGAGAAATAAATCTTCACTCATTCAAAATAGCAAGAAATGACTGCCACAGTACTAACATCAAACCTGTCTCTTCTTCACTCAATAATGAATAGAGCATAAATAATTGTACAGAACAACTTTATAGTTTTTGAAGAATTCTTTATCTTTAAAAAAAGTTGATTTGTCGTAAAAATGAATGAATCACTTCTCTAATTGTAACTGGTTGACAACAAAGACGATAAAACGTTGAAAAATTTTGAGCAATCATACCTATCCCACGATTTGGTTGCTTAAATAGAACAGCACGATTCGGAAACGAATTGAGGATCGCCCATGCAATCGGATTTTCAGTCGGTGAAACTGTGGGTGATCCGAATTCGCCGAGAACTCCAATACCATACCAATGTGGTTGAGGTGGAGCAGTGAGATGATATGAGCTTAGAAGACCGTCGCCGAGAGTAGCACGCCGCGATGGTCTTGTGCTATGTCGGTCATCAGACATCAAACGTGAGAGACGTCGCTCATCCATCAAGTGTGCACTGACAGACTGCAGCATGGTCTCTGTGTAGTGATGGTTATCGTTGAGTGAACAGTCTGGTACAAGCTGGTCGGCTCCAGAAATAGTCACAGAGTGCGATTGTCGAAGCGGTTAGAATGAGCTAGTTATTTCTCCTGCCGATGCTTCTTATGCGTTGTCCCTCGACGACGATTTTGGGGAGCAACTTATAACATAAGCAACGCGCGAGATATTCGGATCAACAAGCGGCTAGCCTGCAATATGCTCGCGTCGGCGATTACTGCTAGCGACGATGACGGCGACGACGACGACAATGATGATGATGATTGTGATGACGACAAAGATAACTACAACTACTTCTACGTCTACGACGACGACGACAGCGGCTGAGCCTTGATGAGAACGACCGTCGACGAGTACTCCACTGAGACTACTTTTCAAGCTCCGGCAAACACGTGACATTGAGCTGCAGTATGTATATGTTCAAATTTAATCAAGCAACTTGCTGAACACTGCTGATTACAAGGGAAAACCCGTTAAGTACAAAACATTAGTGAATTTGTGTGGGGCAGCCGTCACTGTATTATGTGATTTTTTCTGTTAAAGCATAATCGTTTCGATGATAGAGTAACACTCTACGTTTTCATGGGTTTTCATGCACTTTCAAAATGCACAACGATTGTCTGCTGATTTACTTCTGATTAGGTGTTAACTGATATCCGAGTTATTAAACAAATCAATGATATTAAATAGAGTCAAGGTTAGAGGCTTTTTTTGCTGGGCAGTGGTACCTTTACACGGGTTTCCTTTGAGAAACTGTAGTGCGACTTCAGTATACATCACTTTTCGACGACCATTGGATTCGATTACAGTGTGTGTTGGTGTTTTTCGTTCCTTCTTTTTCTCTCGCACTCAAATCACACCACCACCACTTGAGGCGGGCGGAGATGGGTGCGTATGGGATAGAGAATATGTCGTCGTGGTTAGCTATGGAATATTCGATGTCGAGTGTTTTTCGGAGCTAGTGAAAAGTCGTTATCAAGTCGTTCGCTATGTTCTCATCGTGACCTCATTGTCAAAGAATCGATACACCACTAGACCTCGTTACATGCTGAAAACATTGTACGCATTATGCTGGAAATCTGCGTGGAGATTTCTCGTTTAAAATTAAGTTAAAACATGTTTTACGATAACATCACTACATTTAAAGTTTACCAAAGGGTACGCCAAAAAATTGAAGACTGAAAAGAACATCCACTCTTTCAACATTATTTCCATCACTGCAGTTCGCTACAGTACATCTACCACGGTGAATGATCGTTATTCTCAAGGCTTAACTCACAAGCATATCATCATCACCTCAGCTACCAATAGCAACTAAAGCATTCACGAAGTAGTAGAAGATTATGATTAAAAAAACGCGAAGTGTTGAGACGTATTGCAGGAGAATCCGAACGCAGATTATTTTTTAAGGTACTACTCTTGTGCTAGTAAGAAGGGCTGAAACCGATGAAGCGGAATGGAGAGCTGGTTGAAGAAACCGAAAACATGAACGACGCTTTCCAAAGAACATCAAAGAGAGTAAAAGACAACATTTCACTGAAAAGCGAGCCACTGAACGGATACAACCACATTATGACAACGCCCTTACACAAGCGCGCAATCACTGGCACTAGTGAGTAGGTAGCCAGATATTTTTTTTAGCTTCATATTTATATAGGATACACATAGGATACAACTGATTGGCATCGTCACATAAACTTACTTATAATACTTGAGCAAATCGAATTTGTGAAATCCATTCAGATTAAAAACATCGCATGTTGTAAGACAGATGCCTTGGCGTCAAATGTGAGAAATGTGAACAAAAATCATGTTACTTAAGAGAGTTGATGATAAATGATAGGAAATCAATGAAGTAGCATTGGATACGATAGCTGAATAACTGGTTGGTAGTTTGTGAGTCTTTAAACTTTAGTGAAAAAAGAACGTAGTTATGCGCCTGTCGTAAAGAAAAAGTTATAGTAGAATTGTAAAAACAACTGCGTTACATGAGTTGTCACCTGGAGATCAAAAGTCAGAAGTAATTTTTATCTAAGATATATTAAACATTTAAAAAAACGGAAAGCTGAAAACGACTTTTTCGATTGAACGTTAAGGAAATTCGGTTGTTTCATCACTTATAATAATTGCATAAAGCAAATAATAAACGCTTTTAATCAGAAAGCGAATTGTACCTGCTTCTAAAACTGACGTTAGTCAGCTAAATGTATTGGTAATTTAAGGTTTTTCACATTTGGAAGTGCTGATTATTACATCGTAATAAAAAGGCAAAAAATAAAAACCAGTAATACATTAAAATTACTACTTATTAATGCTAAATCTACTAAACCTAACGATAGAGTGGATAACGAGAAACCCACACGGTAACACTGGTGGTCCGAATGGTGTAAACTGGAGTAGCAGAGGTGTTCGGGATACCGTTGGCAATGGTTTGGTCTTGATTTGTTGTCGAGGTGACGGTGATACTGGTAGTGGATTCGTGTGATGGAGTGATTTACGCATTCTACGAAGTGTCCGCGATAGAGAAGCCGGCGCCCGAAACGACATTATATTCATGTGAGAATGTTGACTACTGTTAATTGGGCATTACTCTAATGAAAAATAATGTGGTAATCGATATACGTCAATATATTCTCACCAACTTCCCAACTACATATATCGATTATTTATGCTGAAGTTTATTAAAAGTTGGTGTTCTGAGTAATATATTAGTCAATCCCACACTTACATCATTAATCCGTAAATTTTCAGCCATTCTAAAACTGTGGTTGGAGAGAAGGGTGGGTATGTGAATATGGTTGCCGTCGACTGGTTGTTTCGACAAAGGCCAAGCAAGCTTCATTGAGCACGTTCCTCTCTCTCCACCTCTCTCTCTCTTTCTCGTTCTCCTTTCTTTCTCATCTACAGAGTGACCATTAGAGAGAACAAGCTAACATTGCTCAATTCGGAAAATCATTTTCCAATCATCCGCTTTAACATTAATGAAAATGCTTTTAGCTAGTGAGGCGTACGAATTGACTTCCGAGATGTTCGTATGCCCGAAACATGGTGGAATAAGCTAAGGAGTGGCCATACGACGATTTATTTCATTCTCTTCAGTTCCATCAAACAATAGACAAAAGAAAATATGCTCATACCTTAAGTAAAATGTACATGTTGTCGAGATGAAGTAAATGCGATGTTGTGTGCTAGATAAAGTCAACAATGTTGGTTGGTGTTTGGAATTTACCCCCTGCTGACAAGACTTTCAGAGGTTTGCCGTACGTAATGCTCTCGCCGATAGAGCTTTCATAAAGAATCAAGAAATGTAGATATTCACATAAAATTTAAACAGTGATAAACTTGCTAAAGTAGAAAAGTAAAGTTCAGGATGTTCTTTGACAAGTACGTAAGCATTACCTACATAGTAAGCAATAGATAACAGTATATTGCTTACCAAACCATTACTATATCCATTTCTATGGTTGAATTCTCTATTTGATAGATCACCGATTTTATTTTACTGATGTATAAAAAGTTTCGCGCTTACCTGTGAAGATCATTGTTAAACTTACTAAAACGACTGCGACTGTATATCATAGTGTCATGCTTGTAAATCTGAATTATATGAAACGAAACCAAGTCCGTCGTCGTTACAAGAGTAAGGCTACTTAGATAGAATACTAAGCAAACTAAATGTAAAAAGATATGTAAAACGTTGATGAATCCACGAAATGAACAAACGCGAATGAGATTGAGAAAACGAGGAGGCGAGCATAATGAAATTAGTCAACATGAATTGAAGAGATTTTCTGCCGAATTAGTATCGTCGCTGACGATAATATGAAGCAGACTACGTTGTCTTTGTTGATTTGTGACGAACTCGAAGATATGGTCATTGTGTTCAAGCATGGTTCAATTACAAGATAAGCAAATTAACACGAACCGCCAAGCCAATTTTAACACATTCAGACGACGTCTTCAATTCCCAGCAGATGTATTGTGTTGCAGTCCATTGGAGAAAAAAGGACAATATAGGACTGGCAAGTTTTTTTCGCTTACAATCTCACGATGTCCCAAATTACATGAACAACTCAAATATTCCCACATTCTTCAACATATACACGTATACACATATTCAGGCTCGTGAAAAGGGATAGAGCTCTCGGTGGTGATCAATCTCCGAATGATGTGTCATGTATTCGACTTCATCAAGCATCATTAGAGGCGATTGAGTGCATATCTGGCCTACACAATGACTCGCGGTCGCCTACTGACGCATGAGTCAGTGTGCTATCCTCCTAGATAAGTCTGATATGAACTTGTCGACCTGGAAGTATGGAAGGTTTGGAGAGTGGGATAAAACCTATACAAATTGCTGGGCACCTACCTCTAACCACTGCGCTACACTTGCGCCAGACTCATGCAAATATATACATATATATGTGTATATAAATGTAGATATATATACATTTATATACGGGATCATTCACGTGCATACACATACTGTAGAACTAAAGGCACACTAAAGATTTTGCAGTTTTTCTGAGCAATATGACAGAGTGTATCACTAAATATCAATCAAATCTCTCAGTAATATCACTCACAACTAGAAGAATTTTTTTTGAGCTTTTATCTAGACATTTTATTATAGAATTTACGAAAAACATAAGAATAAATACTGATATGATACTGTATGATACTGTATACTGTAAGTATCGAATACATTAGCTTCATTACAGTAAAAAATATTGAATTCACTATCCTGGTTAATAGTACAGTAAAAAACGAAAATCATCCACATTGGCAAGCTTAAAGTACACTTGTTGTACAATAATATAGAAAAATAGCAAAACAGCACAGGTGATTTGAAGAGGCACCTAATGAACCCAATCCCTCTGCCCTTTAATTCTTTGAATGCTCGAAAAATTTGCCTTCACTTGAGAGAAAAATGTTTAACTCTCAACACTGTTCTCAGCTCGTCATTTGATTGACAGTCGAACGAGATTTATTCTTAGCGAAGCTCTACCTATTTGCTGCTACCAGTTTGTCTTCTCACCTAAATAGAACAGCACGACACAAATGTTTCTTTAAGTCGACATCGTCTTTATAGATTTCTATAACGTACTGATACAAAAAGAGCTCTGAAAAATTTTTTTAAATAATACTTTATGCTATTTTTTTCATGCTAACATCATCCACTATCACATTATCGTGCACAAGTGCTCTTGGAACTCCTGCCGAATTGTGATCGACAACTGAATGACTATTCCCATAGGAAGGTAATCTAAGCGGAGAAAGTTCGAAATTCGCTATGAAAAAGCGCAGTTAAAGGTGAGCCGGAAAAGCTCGGAGAGCCAGCAATAACTAGAATGAGAATAAAGGGCCCCTACACAGAACTCATGGAGGTGTTCGTACCG